CGGCCCTGGAGGAAACTGTTTTTGGTTTGAAGACGCAAACCCAAAAACTGCATATGACACATTCAACGCTGTGAAGCACCTCCAACCCTGCGCTAAGACTTGTCCCTTGAGTGCTCCCCTCAAAGTCTTTGGGTCAAACTCTTCGTTGGCAAAGCCAGTCATAGGAAAGCGCCCAGCAGCTGCATGTTTCAAAGACCAAGCTAACAGCTTGCTCACCAAGCGGTACACATCCTTTTGCACCTCAACCCCCAAAACACACACACATGTGCACACACACGCGCATCTCTAGGTCTTTCAACCTGTGACTGCATTCACCTGTGCACACAATGGTAAGGCAACACCACAGAAGGAAACTTGATGTCGAAAACCTGAGACCCAGTTTTGTTTGGACAAGGCCTTCACCCAAAAACACAATGCCAGGAAACATCACCGTTTGATAGTATGCTTGACCAGCTCCACACGATGTACTCGCTATCTCTATAGAACTCTGCACCGTCGACGTGAAAGGTTATTGGGACGACTCCTCGAAAGACCAAGACACCCAGAGCTTACCAAAACAAACACAAGACACAACGCTTTTAGGCTAGCCACTGTCTCTTTCCGTGTCGTTCCCCGAGAAGTCACCACAGAAAGCTGGATGGTCTTCCCATTCGGGAAGCTGGAGACAGTGATCCCACAGATCTTTCGCTGCACCACGGCTTCGCCCGCCAAGCATTGACTTTCCAAACTGGGGCAAATCAAAAACATTATTTTCTATGAAGGCTGAACCAAACACATGTCTAGAAGGCACAGCGCGTTTGCATGGCCTGATCGGGCCCTGATTTCGCCAACGCGTGTAACAATTCATGTGGAAGAATTGTGGGGACCCACACGTCCTCCAACTCAGTGCTGTTGGTGACCTTGGCTTAAAGAGGCTGACCCTGATACTGCCGTATAAAGATGATGCTAAACATCAACATGTTTATTCACTGGGCTTCAAACTCTCACGTGAAGCTTGACCCAATAATGTTCAATCTCGATGCCATACAATTGCCGAAGCCAGCGATGTAAGTCCCTTTCTTCAGACGACGGGCGCTTGCCACAGGAGCCAAGAGATGCAAAAGCTGCGATGGCCAAAGGAGGCTCGAGACCTTGATCTAGAGAGTCCTGCACCTGTGCCTGAGCAATGGAAACGCATGTGTGAATATTGGCTTTGCCATGTCCAATCAATCCTCAGGGGCAAGAGAAGGAGTGAAAAACTAGAAACATGAAGCCTTCTGCAAGTTCTTTTTGATAAAGAGTGCAGCCATGCATCGTAGGAAACTATCAGCTGTTTTGTTATTCCCACAATTCTCAAGACGAGGCCTCCTTTTGAAGGGCCTCGGAAGACACATGGCCGGGTTCAACCGATATGGGATTGAACTGCCAGGCGCCCCTACTTCGAGAACTTCGAGATCGTCTTCGTTCGAAAGCTGTGGCCTGCATCAGGCCAGATGAGGGGCAACAAATGATCAAATGGGAGGTCGCTTGGAGGTCGCTTTGCAATTGAACTCCACTCCAAACATTGTAAACATTTGACTATGGACCGATGGAATTTCTTTTTCGAGATTGGCACCCTGGCTTCACAGAGAGCCTGATGTTTCTAACCAGGGTGGAAAGAGACTCTGTAAGGATCAAGGCAATTTCCCCATTGCCAACCCCTTCCATTGGAAGAGGTTCCAAAAGCTACCAGACTTCTGCATCGAAGCTCACGAGGCGGCCGCGACTTTCTCCTTCTTGGCTGCCTTCTTCTTCGGCGCCTTCTTGTTCAGGCCAGCAAGCAAAGATTTTGCCGCAGCCTGGGATGATGCTGGAGCAGAACTGGTGGCAACATGTTTTTGAAAAGGGGGGCCCCTGTCAGTCAGCAAAACAAAAGGATGCCCATTTGTACCAAAGCAACCTTAGCCTTCTCAAGCCATTTCATTTTCTGGTCGGCCTGATCAGCTGCAGAGTCATACTCGGAGTCATCGGTGACTTTGCGCTTCACAAGGTCTGTGTAGTTGGTGAACAGCTTTTCCATTTTCTTGGACTCATCCAGCAACTGCTTTGTCAACTCACCGCCATATTCAACGGCCTGGAGGGAGATACTGAGCTTCCTGGCTTCTCCAGCTTCAGCGAGAAGTGCCTTCATAGTGTCTTTTGCTCTCCTGAGTTTTGCGCACCCCAAAACTTTCCCATATGGTATCCCGTGTAGAGGGGGGAACAGGAAACCTTAAAAGCTACCATATTGAAAATACAAAGGCAACTGAGAATCTCTTGGAAAGTCTTTGGCTTCACCTCAACCACCTGTTCGGTGTCCTCCCTTTTCTTGATCCTAGCCTTGGAAACCGTAGAGCCCATAGCCGTCCACACACCCTTGCTTCCATCCGCACCGACCGTTTGGAGGTCTGGCAAAGCTCCAGCCGCAAGAGGAGCGCCCTCCGCTGTCAAGTCGGAGAGGGTTTTGGCATCAGGTTGGGTTTGGGCCTGCAAGGTCATCGCAGTAGACGTCACATCATCTTGGGTGATCCTGGCTCCATCCCCGGCATAGTAGTAGATCTCCTGGGACATGGATGGGGACAAATTCAAAGGGATTTTCAATAGAGATCAATTGGTTTGATTGGGAAAATAGAACCTGCCCAAACCAATGATGTGGATGTGGATGTCTCCTCCTCATCGTTGGGAAAGTCAGGGTCCCACATGTACATTTGCTTGGAAGCCAGCAATGCACACAACTTGTCCACCTTCTCCGCAGGGTATAGTGCTAGCAGCTCGCGTTTCTTCTTCCCCGTGCGCCCAGTGCGAACCCGGTTGACATGCGCAACCCGACGCTCCATTTGCAGCGCTACCCTTGGGACAGGTCAAATCAAAGGGAGGATCATGTAAGTTGGGGTCAACAACAAGAAAGATTGAGGGGCAACCAAAAAAGTGAACTAGCCTGATTCTCAGGCAAGAAGCTCTTTGAGGTTGTGGTTGTTGTCCAACCAGACTTGAAACAAGTCCAGCTTGTCCCTCTGCAAATGCTCTGATAAGCTGATTGGGAATTTCTTCTTGTTGCCACACTCCCTCGTAAAGACTGCCCACTCTTTGGGCATGGTGACACCTGAGATGACCACGCCCAAACTTTTCCCCCAAAATAACACTCAAAAGAAAACCACCGCTTGAACCAAACAAAAACCTGCACGAGTTTGAAGAAAGCCAGGGGGCTGTTCCTGGCAGGAAGGTCTGCTGCCTCCTTGGCTGCAGCGCTAATCGCTTCCCCCTTCTCTTCAGCCTTGGGATCCTTTTCATCTTCTTCACTCATAGACTCCCCATCCAGGTCGCCGTCAGATTCACTTTCTTCAGGGATCATCTCAACAGGCGATGGTGATGGTGATGATGTCGAGTCCCCACATGACTCACCATCACTGCCCTCATCTTCCTCATCCTCCTCTTTTGCTTCCTCCGCCTCCTCCTCCTCCTGCTCGCCACTGCCCTCCTCCTCTTCATCTTCCTCTTCTTCACCCCCTTCACCTTCTTCCCATTCTTCTTCATCACCATCCTCCAACGAGAGCAGAAAATCATCCAGCTCTTTGGGGGTCATTGCGCCCAGATCAGGGTCCTCTTTCTTTTTTGTCTTTTGTGCTTCCTTCGGCTCTTCTGCTTCCTTCGCCTTCTTTTCCTTCTCTTTGGCAGCCTGCGCTTCCTTCGCCTTCTTTTTCTTCTCTTTGGCAGCCTGCAACTCTTCCGCTTCCTTCGCCTTCT